GTGTGTCTCTATCTATCTGTGTGTGTCTCTGTGTGTGTCTTGTCACTCGTCCATAAACAAGGGGTCGGGCCAGATGGCCTCGCTGTCTCCCGGCAGCTCCTCGGGCATCGCTATGCCAATCCCCTGCTCCCACCACGTGGGGGGCAGGTCATTATCTCCATCCTCATACCCCGGCAGGCCGCACCCCATACCAAAGCCCATACCGCCCATCGTCGACAGTATCAGGCTGCTGTCGCTCGAGTCGATCATCCCATCCTCTGCATCGCGGCAGACCTCTGCCTCCGTCCAGGCCGTGTTACTCGGCCTCTCCACCTCGTGGCCCCACTCAGACGAACCCCCAGGGGCCTCCTCCTTGTGCTGATGCTCCAGCTCGTCGGGCTCTGAGTCTGAGTCTGAGTCTGAGTCAACACCGAAAGGAGCACTCCAGTGAGCTGACACATCAACACACACACACAACACACATGTCAAGAACTTCCTCCTTGGCTATCTCTCACAGATCACTGCGTATCTCGCCCGGCAATCCATTCACTCACCGTGGTGTGCCGTATCGTCCACCCTCTCCCTCCGTGAGTTGTAGAAGAAGAAGCGGGTGGGGTCGAAGTCCATCATCCCCGCGTCCTCCCGCTGCGTCGGCGCCGCCCTCTCCTTCTCCTTCTTGGCCGGCTTCTTCTTGGGTTTGGCCTTGGGCTTGGCCTTGGCCTTGGCTTTGGGCTTCTTGGGGGCCGGGGGCTGTTTGTGGGAGGGCGGCGGGGGGCGGCTGTCGGCCTGCGATGTCGTGGAGGGCTCTTCGTCTTGGCGTCTGCGACGCGACCGCTTGGAGAGCTGCACGGCTCGGCCATCGTCCAGCGTGGTATCTAACTCTGCACGAATCCACACACACGAGGAGAGCACACCGATAATCCGCCACGGGTCTGAGGTGCGGCTCTTCGGTTCATATGAGCGTGTCTCTTTGCTGACTGACTGACCATTCTCGTCAGTTGAGTGTTTGCGCTTTTGGCCACGGCCGCTTTTGCGTTTGTCCTTGGTCTCACAGCCCGGCCTCCACTCCTCTGTTCCATCTGCACACACATGACACACATGACCGATGGATGCATCAAGGCAATGGTTGGAGGTCACTCTTGTTACCGCTCTTCTTCGAGCGGTTCTTTTTGGCCCCGCGCTTCGATGCCCTCAGCTCCTCGGCGGCCTCTCTCTCTTCCTCACGGTCTGCAGATACGCTCTGCACTGAGGAATGGCCTGTGTCAACTGCATCCATCCACAAAAAACGAAATGCACCCAACGAAATGTATACGCAATTCATATGGATGAAACTCCTGGCCCCCTCGGACCTTTCCCGCTGGCGTACCGTCCATTTTCGTATGGGGGGGCGGATACCCATAGTGAGGGTGAGGACAGAGGGCCTGCGGGGCGCCCGCTAGCGACACGACGGACGGCGCGTTGGCGCCGGGAGGGGGGAGGGGTGGGGGAACGGGCATGCTGTACGTGTCAAAGGGTGGCAGAAACGACACGAGAGGTGCAGCAGGACCTTGCAGAGCAATATCAGAGCAAAATATCACTGTCGTCAAGTGGGGGCGCCAAAATGCGAGCTGCAGATCGTCACAAAAGTCGTGGGCCATCTCAGTTTTGGAGTGCTTCTGCGTGTGTGCCCTCTCTCTGAGCGTGCTCATGTCCATTCGTTCACAGCCAGCCCATGCCCTGCTGAACGCCTCCCGCCAACCCACCCACCCTGATCATACGATATCGCCCTGCAGAGGGCCACTGCGCCGAGTACTGGCAGCATTGACGGAGAGGCCGATTACTCTGCTGCGCTGTCCATTCCACATAATACCATGCACATACACACACGCAAAAACGGCCCGATCCATTCCCCACCCGGCGCAGCACGCTAGTGACCAAAACAGGCGGGCATGGCATCAATCGTATAGACACAGGCACACATGGAGAGAGTGAGGTGAGCAGCATGTCATGGGATGAATCAAAACTTGAACTTGACGCGCTTGTCTTTGCTGAAGAGGGCGTACGCCTCGTACAGCTGGTCGGCATTATCGAAGGAGCCCGTCACACGGACACTCCGGTACTTGCCCTGCACCCCACATGCAGACAGACAGACAGACAGACAGACAACAAAGGCAGGCCCTTCACACATGCCATGCGTCCAGCCGACTGCTTTGTGCACATACCTTATCTCTGACACTGACCGCAACCACCTCTTTCCCAGTGACCTTCTCCACAATATCCTTCATGTCAGAGCTGAAGGGACCCACAGGTATCCCGATCACGCGCATCTCAAACTCACAGGGGAACGACAGCACCCGATCGAACACCCTGTCGCCCTTGCCCAGCTGCATAGACTCCCCCTCCCCGCCGTCCGCCGATGACGCATCGGCGGCCGATGGCGGCTGTGCAGAGAGCACCGTCCACTGCCTGTTGCTGGCGTCAAGGTATACCCGCCGCCGTAGCGGCGAGTGTGGCTGCGTCGCAGAAGGGGATGTTGGGGGGCTCAGCGCATTGCGCATGAGGGAGAAGGGGAGGGCGGGCTTGATCCAGGCTGCTGCCAGCCAACACAGCACCAGGCTGAAGTGTGCATGCGGGATGAGGCGTGACATCAGTGCTGTGCCGGTGCTGGCGCTGGTGTGGATCTTCTGGTTTGCTTGCTTGCTTGCTCCTGCCGATGACGGCGATGCGATGCGAGGGCTCCAGATGATCAAAATCGTTGACCTTCTCAGCTCCGGGACCCTCTTGATTCAACACCAGCCAGCACCTGAAGAAATCAGACGAAAAGTTCAGAAAAATTAAAGAGCAGGATGACGCATCACACGGCACTCCCCCGCTCCTTCTCACCTAATTCTTCGCCTTTCCGATTGCGAGCTTGAAGCAGCAAAGCGTCCGATCTCTGCCGTCCTGCCCGAACAGAGCGCTGTTGATGCGCCGCATCGGCAAATACGGAATTGCCAATCTCCCACGGCGCTTCTGTCACTTGCGCAATCGACTGATCTGCTCATCGTCCTCGCGGCAGATGAGGGTGCAGCTGTCATTGCAGTGCCCTCACAATGGCCCGATCAGGGCAAGCGATGAGTCAAGATCTGCCCCAGATGCAGCACAGCCTTCGGCACGCTCCTCCGTGACGCTCCGCTACTCCGGCGAGGAGAACGATGAGTCGAGTGCAGCAGCAGCTGCAACAGGAGGGCTTTTGCCGGATGCTAATGGTGGTGTTTGTGATGGTGTGAGGGGCACGCTGGGCAGTGCGGATCACGAGCGGCTGCAGATGGTCTATGAGGACATCTTGGCAAGGCCATGGGCGCATCCCACTCATGTACAGAGGCTGCACGCCGCCGGTAGGTAATGAACGCAGGCAGACACAAACACACAAAAACCATGCAAACGGTACTGTGTCACTGTTTCTCTCCTTTCATCCTTGGTTGTTCCTTGCAGCCACGCGCCTTCGGGCGGAGCGACAGAGATGCGTAGATCAGTCAGCTCTTGATGCAGGCAAGATGGGTGTCATGTTTGCCCATGGTGTCGTGTACGCCCTGCTGTCATCAAACTCGCCCCACTGTGTCATCATTGCCTCTCGGTAGGGACGCACATGCATGTGGCCATGATTCTGGAACCACCCGTTGCCGGCGGTATGTGGTGCTGCATGCAGGGTGCCAGCTGGTTTGGACTTCATGGAGCGGTGGATGGTGTCCCGGCAATTCAACACACGGGAGCCGTACAAATGGATGCACGAGTGAGCCAGTGACTGAACAATGACAAGACAGCAAAGACACCCACATTCATGCGCTGACTGTCTTCTTCATCTCGTGTGCAGGTCAGGTTTTGAGAATCTGTATGTGTATCTGCTAGAGAAGCTGCCTGGGCCAGGTCGGTTCTTCGGCGACAGCGCGGCCCGCAGGCGACGGCACTGGGAGAGGGTGGCGCGCACTGTCGATGACGACAGTCCGTTGTGTTTCGATGACGGTACCAGGGACGGCGCTTATGGGGGGGCGAAGCTGCTGGTGCCGGCTGGTGGGACGTGAGGGATGGGTGAGTGAGTCGGCTGGTTTGTTTGTTTGGTGGGCGTTGATGCTTTTCATGCCCTGAGAAGACAATGCTGATAGCACGTTGATCCGGATGAATGAAATTCTGAGTGAACCAATATGTTGCGGTTCGAAGTCGTGCGCCAACATTCTGTTCAACGTACTGTCATATATATCCCTTCAACGGAACTGCTTGTTTGACGTATCCTTTTTGCAACCATGCACACGAGCGGCACGCTGTCTGACCAGCTAGTTCACATCACGGTGCATTCATGCGTCCATCAGTCTGTTCGGCCGGCCCTCTCGCACCCTCTAGCTAATTGAGGGCCGCCTTGCCCTCCACACGCCCGGATACCGCCACACCAGCAACAGCCTGCACAGACAGAGGCAGACCGTGGGCAAAATGGCCATCTGGACAGATTGTGTTGACTCTGTTTCCCTCACCGTTGTTGGTGCCGCCTCGTTGCCAAATATCTCCTTGACGGGTGAAGGTGGCGGCCCCTCTCGCCCACTCCATGGCAGTGCCAGCCCGTCATCGCGCAGATACAGGGAGGCCGGAGACACAGGTGAGTCACTTGCGGCGGGGGGCTGTGGGAGTAGGTAATGGTCGGTCGGCTCCTGGGGGGAAGGGTAGGTGGTATCTTGCTCATCAAGCAGAGCGCCCTTAGAAGGAGACTGCTGCTCGCCTGAATGAATGAATGAATGAATGAATGAATGAAAGACACGACATCGATCGAAAGGGCCGTCAGATTCGTGTGCACCTACATATCTATCTGTACGCCAGGCTTACCGACGGACACCTCATCCCGCGGCGACACGGAGTCTGTTGTCAGCCCTCGCTTCTCCCCCCTCTGCCCCTCGCACACACCACCACTGACTCCTCTGGGCCGTGGGATCATTGACGGATGGCAGGGACCATCACTAGAGGGCTTCTCGATCAGCGGCACCGGCACCGGCGGCCGCCAGATGCAGGGAGGAGGCGACTGCTCCTGTTCGCTGCCCGCATCCTCCCTCCCATCCTCTCTCTGTGCCCCCCTCGGCAGCCGCGGAGGTGTGCTGGCCTCCTGCACAACATCGGGTATGGTCTTCCTGCCAGGGTGCCTTGGCGGACGGGGGGCCGCCTTGACGGCTGCTGGAGGCTTCTGGATCATGGCGTATGGCGGTTGCGTGGAGGGGTGGTGGGCCATGGAGGATCTGGCGAGTGTGCGGAGGTATGCGATGCGCCGGCGGTACTTGGCGTGTCGGAAGTGGCGCTGGATGATCTTGGCCGCAATGGTGCGCAGCTCGTAAGCCATCAGCTGAGAGAGAGACACCACAAGTACACCCACAGCCAAGCCAAGAGCCACTCTTCCCCTGTTCACCTGCTGTTGCTTCAGTATGGCCTCCATGTCTTCCTCCTCCTCATCAGCTTGTTCTTCTGTTGGTGCGTTAGCGCCGCTGTCCCCGCTGTCCAGACCCGTGTCTCCTTTGTCCTTCTCATGTGTCACCTCTGCCAGGTCGCCCACATGAAGAGCGTCTGCATTCTCACTGCTCCCTGCTGCCAGCGGCGCCACCATGGCCTCTGTGGGGCTATGTCGACAGGGGGATGCACTCATACTCGACACTGCACAACATATATAACATAAATCACTCAACAAGAGTCAGTCAGTGAATTTACTTCCTCGATCAGTCACCACCCATACTTACCTGACCAGTCCAATTCCGTCCCGTAGTCCCCACCCGAGTCTACACACGACACAGCAGCACCAGCAGCACCAGGGGCAACAGCAGCAGGGGGGGTCTGTGGAGAGGGAGCCCGCCCGTCAACCCTTCCTTCTCCCTCGGCAGGCCCGGGTGGCTCTGGCAGCTGCACACGAGGCGTGTCACCAGTTCGCTCGCGCTGCAGCTGCGAGGGCGATACCGACGACGCACCGGGCGGATGGAGACCTCGCCGTGATGTTGAGGGAGGCGTCTGTGGCACGTCCGGAAGAGTCCCCTTCTGCTGTGCGTCTGGAAGGGGAGCTGGCGGGACACCGCCGCCCCTTTTGTCGCTCTCCAGTGTGAGCATGGGTGACGGCAGCTCTTCCACAGATGGACGTGACCGTGGGGGAGGGGAAGATGGCCGGCCCATGTCCATCGAGGGGCTCCTCTCTCCCTCTCCTTCTGCCTCTGGATGCGTGGCCTCCTGCTCTCGCTCATGTGCTGCAAGAGGGGACGGTGGTGCGAGTGGCTTGGGGGGAGGGAGGGCACGGGATGATGACAGACGGCTGTCGGGCGACGTGAGCTTTTCGAGGGCGGACTGCAGCTGCTCTACCTCACGATTCTTGGCTTTCAGGGCCTCCTGCAGCTGGCCTATCGTCTGAGGGAAAAGAAGAATAGAGGTCAAGGAGAAGTGAAAGCGGGTTGCCGTGCCGTGCATCAAGAGTGGGTGGATACGTGCCTGTAGGTTGGCTTGGTTTTTGTGTTCGAGCTGGGTGCGCGCCTTCCGGAAGGCCTGCTGCCGCTGCCACATGCTGGCAAGCTCCTCCTGCACAGCACACAACCAACGACGCACTCTGTTCTCTGCCTGTGCTTTGCCCGGGCTTGGCTTGCGTGTCTCCTTGCGTACCTCAGCCTTGGTTCTCCTTGTGTGTTCGCTCTCGAAGTCCATCTGCAGCCGATCCCTCTCCTTCCGGAGGGCACGCAACCGGTCATCTGTACGCACACGCATGGATGTCACCCACTGTGGTGTGAGTGCGGCTCGATTCCCTGACCTTTGTAGTGTATGGAGCATCTGAGCCTGTCGAGGTCGTCGCCCTCTGTCGACCGCACACCCACAGAACCCACCGACTCCTGGCCATCTCCTGCAGACCACAACACACACATGCGTATACGAACCAGAACAATGTCACATGAAGACAGAAAGAGCTACCTGTTATCGGCACAGCTTGTGCCCTGCCGCCTGTCGATTTCGCCCGTGGGGCCCCGATGCGTGTGCGAGTTGAACGATGTGTTGGCAGCATGGCGCGGACCTCCTCAAGTTCCTTCTCGAGCTGGGCACTCCTGGCCAGCTCCGCCTGTGTGGATGGACACACAGATGTGTACCGATTGTGTGGGTCAGTGAGCGCCTTTGTTTGATGTATATGTGTGATTACCTGTAGTTCCTTGTCTCTCTGGTGGAGGGATTTCTCGGTGGTGACTAGCAGATGGCTGGTGCGGGCCAGCTCCTCCTGAATCGCCTCAAGCGCTGATGAAGAGAATGGACAAATGCGCAGTATTGGTCGGGTGGAGCATCACGTCGGGAGTGTGTGTGTTGTGTACCGTTCCTGTCGATTTGGTTGGCCTCTGCCTCCCTCAGCCTGTGACTCATCAACTCCAGCTCACATATCAGCTGACACAAACACACACACGTGACAAAAGCGTCAGCATCATCGGCGTGAGTATGAACCATGTGGGTAGCTCGACCTACCTTGGACGTGTCATCGCAATGCTTCTTATTCTCCTTCTCGGCGGCCTCCAGACGGCTCTTGTAACCTGTCATAAAGAACAAAATACAGCTAGAGAGTTGCAGTCCAGTGCAGTGCAATGCACTCGTCGTACTCACTCGATGCCACCCGGCTGATACGGAAGTTTCGCTCGCTGAGTTCCGCAATGCGTTGGTCCTGCTGCCGGGCCGCCTGGTGGGCCTCCCGCTCGACATGACTCCTCTCCTTCAACTGCACAACACACAACAGAGAATACGCATTGAAAGGCAACAGCAACAATGGTTATGTTCATTGCAAATGACCTGTTCCTTGAGTGCTCTGGTCAGCCGCTGCAGCTCCCTGCGCTCCCTCTCATCCACGTCCCTCCTACGACGCCCTTCGTTGTCATCCCACGGAGTCCGACTCTCGCGATAAGCAGCCAACGCGGCCTGATGCGATGGGCGATGGGCCGACAACCCGCTGATAGTGCTGGGAGATGACATGTAAGAACGACTCGACGCCATCGCACCGAAGCGTGGCTGCGAGCCCGAGGACGATCGCATCTTCCGTTTTGTCTGGGTTTGTATTAGCTAAGAGGAGATGTCTGACGGTGCGGCAGCAGCTGCCGCGGCCGCTGGAGGCAAGAGAAAGCGGTGTCCAGCGGTCTTAGATGAGGACAACGACGTCCGCACCTGGCTGCAGATGGGCAAGGAGCAGATGGATATCATCCAGGACGCACTCAACCAGACGCTGGCCAAAATCGAGCAGCGTGAGCAGGCGCTAGGAGGCCGCGTAGGAGAGATTGTGCCCACGGTAAGGCGAAATGAAATGGGCGAGGGATGTCTGCAATGGGAGCTGATCTGTGCGTGTGTGGATGGTGCAGGTGCAGCTGATGCGTCAGGAGCTGCACTTCAACGTCTGCGGCGTCTACATGAAGGCGCGCCGTTCCACCCTCTGTGTGCTGCGAGGTAGCGTGTTGGCCACTCTGTGTGGGGGGCGGTATGACGAGGCGCTGATCAAGGACGCCGACGAGAAATACTTCTTGCCCTTTTATCCTGTCGCGTTCCAATGGTCAGCCCGGCCGGCAGTCAGTCAGGACAAGGCCACTGTCCACCGTCTGAGTGTGTTTCCTTCAGGCTCATCGGCGAGCTAGCTTTGTATGAGGTTGGGGATGTGGACGACATCACGCTGCCTGACACCAAACAGAACGATGCCGCATTCAGGTGCGTATGCACCGACACACATTCTATTGGCGCATTGTGTTATCCATCCATCTGTGTGTATAATGCTGGTGCAGCTACTGGGTGGAGTACCTGATGGCCAATCCCTCCGCGAAGCGCCGCGCGATGCACGTCCGGATCCCGCCCATCACACAAGACCACCCACATCAGCAGCAGCAGGACGGCCAGGGTGAGGGTGAGGGTGAGCAGCCGGAGGTCGACACCGAGTTTGTGGCGGCCCAGCTGCCCGACATCATCCGCAAGGCCATGGCGGAGAAGGCCTGCGAGCACCAGAGGCTCACGGCCATCAAACCACTACTCAAATCGGGCAACCAGGCCGACGATGCGGTAGCCAAACACAACAGCACAGAGAGAAGGCTCGTGTGGCCAGCGGGTGGATCCATATGTGTGTGTGTGTGTGTGTGTGTGTTCAGTTGGTGTCGATTGACGTGTTTGGTACGACAGTGACGATCACCATGGCCGTAGCCAAATCGCTGGGCGACGACTCGACCTTCGCCAATCGATTCATCAAGTACAAAACGGCCACACCACACACAGCCATCCCCTTGGCCATCCCTGCAATGTGTGTGTGTCAGGTATGACCCCTCTGTGATGACGGTGCCGGTGGACTACGTGCGGCGTGTCGCCGACATCGTCACGCGGGCGTACGTCAGGGGCACGGACGTCACGGCCGAGGACGTGCAGAGCTCCAGGGGCGACACCAATGACAAGGCCTTCCGGAATGCGTTGAACATGTAAGCAAGCAAACCGACAGACAGAGAGCCCTGCGCACAGGTATATATCGGTCGATCGATGTGTGCCACGTGTGGTCCCCTTGCCTGGCTGCAGGTACGGTTTGGATAGCGATCGCTATTTGGGGCCTAAAGATGGCCTGCTGACCACCGAGCACCTGCACAAGATGCGGCAGTGGACGGCACACATTCGCAACGCTCCCAATAACATCCCTTTGTGTGTGGGCGAGCCGGTCGTTCGCATATACAAGTGGGAAGGGCAGCCAGACAGCTGTGAGGATGACGGCATTTTCTCACCATGCCCATGTGTCTTGATGTGTGTGTCGTGTCAGGGCGACTAAGGATGGGTGGAAGTGGTTGGATTTCATCGAGGCCGTCAAGGGCCACTCCCCCCTGCTGCTCATCTCCAAGGTGGCCGACAGCAATGAGCACTTCGCCCTCATCATCGAGGGGCCCATCGAGGTCACGGGGACGGCCGAGAGCATCCACGACACGATGTCCTTCGCCTTCAAGCTGCGGGGGACAGACAGCCACCCACATGTGGGCTACATCGGCCAGCACGACACCATGTTAATCGCGGGCACACAGGTGGGTACACATTTTTACCAGCAACACAGTCATGGTAATGGTCTCTTCTCCGTCCATGTGTGCAGGAGAGAGTCACGAACCTCGTGGATTTATCTTCTCCATCCGAGGCGATGGCCGTCCTCGCCCCATCTCGCTTCACCTTCGGAATCCGTCCGGCCGCCCAGATCGGTGCACCAGCAGCGGCCAGCGACGAGACGATGAGGCGCTGCCAGGGAATCATGCTGGAGGACGACCAGCCGGACGGGTGGTGGCAGTGGCAGCGGCCGAGTGTGAGGCCGAGCGACCACGGCTGGGACGATGACCGAGTGTTCCTGCCTGTGAGTGTGAAGGGATGGCACTTTGATATCAGTGAGTTGGAGGCGTATCAGCTGGCGTGAGGGAGGGAGGAGGGGGGGACAGTAGACGGGTGTGTGACAGATGGTAGCGGTAGCCAACACTTCATCTGACTCGGGGTGTGTCTATATGTTGATTGAACTGACTTGGAACCATCGAACGAATCGAATTCACTCACTGCCACATGCCGACTATCACGCTCATCCAATAGATGTCAACGAATGGAAGCACACGGCTCTTACATGCCTACGTATTAAACCTGCAGGCTGCTTGCGGACGAGTGAGTGATGGAGCATTGTCCCGCAATTGGTTGATCGATCACTGTCGAGCCAGTCACGATTCTTGTCACACATGCATTGCATGCCCACATCTCACATGAGAACTGGTCAGCTGGGTGCAGCCCCTCAAGCATGCGGGAGCGGTCGAGAGACACGTACAAGCAGATATAAGATGTAGACAGCGATGATGAAACTCTCCCTCCCTCCTGCCTGTCTTGTGTGTGTGTGTGGTGTCGCAAGAGCAGCAGCCATACAGACACACAGACAGGCAGAGGGTACAGGGCCCTCCACCCACGCCTATCCCTCCGGCTTGGCTCCACCGCAGCAGCGCTTGACCGCACTGCAGATCTGGTCCCCCCCCCACCTCGCCACCGACCAACTAAAGGCCATGCCCGTGCAGATGTCCTGCGTGGCGCTTCGCACCTCCCAGAGCATCGGGTCATCAGTGGCCTCCCACAGCTCCCACCCTCCTGTGAAGCCGTTCTTGTACCACCCGCCCTCCATCGGGAAATCCACACGTACCCATTTGGCCAAGGCCACGAAATCGACATGGTGGGCCTGGCTGTAGTGCATGGGCTGGGGGATCAGGTCCTCCTGCACGTCTGTGTGCGGGGGAGGCTGGGGTGGGGTCATGTGGTGGGGGGGCATGTGGTGGTAGTGGTGGTGGTAGTGGTGCACGGGCGCCATCTGGACGAAGGCGACGGAGGACGGCAGCACAGCCGGCGATGCAGCAGCGGCGACATGACCGATAGCGCCACTTTCGTGGGCGAGAGGTGCGACAGCGGCCGGAAGGCAGGCGGGGTGCGATGGTGTGCGGGCTATAGGCGGTGGGGGCTCCTGTGTCTGCTGCTCTTGCTCCTCGGCCAACGCAAATAAACAACCAACGCCTGAATGAAAGACACAGACAGACACAAATCGATGGAGTGGTGACCTCCTGTGTGAATGCATGTGCGTGGGTACCCATCTGTCTGTCTGCCTGTCGTATTGTGTTTCGTACCTGGGTCAGGGTGGTCGTTATGAGAGGCACGTGTGTGCCCAGGGCGGGGGCGGGCGGTGAGTCAGGTGGTGCAGGGGCGGGGCACCGGGGTCCATGGACCGCTTGACCCCCTCCAGGAACCCCACCAGGTCCCGCAGCCCCCTCTCCATGTCGGCCATGGAGCACCGGTCGCTTGGCCCTGGGCGTGTGGCGGCCTCCGACAGCTGCTCGAGGCGCTTGAGTGCCTCGTCTACCCACTCAAACCCCCTCTTGCCTCTGTGCTCATACAGCCCCACCCTCGCCTTCTTGGGATGGCTATCGGGCTCCATGATCTGCTGGCGAGTCCGCTCCCAATTTAACGCAATGACGGCCTGCTGGACGTTGTGGAACTGCAGGTATGCCTGCTTGGCCGCCTTGTGTGCCGTCAGCTGCTGTTGGTACTGCCGCTTCTCCTCCTCGGTGGCGTCGTCGGCCGGCTGGTGTGGCAGGCTGGGTCGCTTGGGCCAGTTGCCCTCTCTGGCGAGCCAGCTGTGGAACATCTCCCCTCTCAGGGCATTGTACATGACCACCCCCAGGTTGAACACCGGGCTTCGGTCGGTCATCCACATCCCCTTGCTGTTGCCGTTGGCGACCAGCAGCCCCTCTTGCCTCAGCCCCCGCCCCACTGCAGTGTTTGCCTCCTGGATGCTGGTCCACACGCCCTCCTGGAGGTTCCTGCTCGCCCTGTTTTCCCCCAACTCCTCCACCAACAGCATCAGCTGCTCTGGGGCCGGCTGGAAGTTGGTGAAGGTCGGCCGCCCTCCTCCTTCTTGACGGCCTTCTTGATGGCGATGAGTGCTGCATTCTGGCTGGGAGGGGCGGGGAGAGCGCCGTCGTCGTCTCGCATCGAGGGGCCTGGCGTCTTGGCGAGGGCGGTGTTGGCCAGGTCGATGAGGTAGGCGTCTGGGTCGTCGGATATGGGGTCGCGATAAACCCGCGCTTTCTTCAGCGTGGTGGCTGCAGCGTGGAGGCCACGGGCAAGCATGGCGACGGACTCCAGTGCGACGAGGGGGCTGCCGGGGTCGTCCCAGGGGTTGTCGTCCCCGATGTCGGCCATGTTGTAGCCGTGCTTCGATATCAGCTCATGCAAGCTGGCGTAGTGGCCTGACAACGGACAGAAAAAGATAGATATCACTTGGATCACATGTACCGGCGTGCCGCATTGCTTTCTTTTTTCCTTGTTGCTCACCACTATTCAGATACTGCTCCTCAAGGTACACACACTTCTGAGGCGGCGAGTCGGAGGTCTGACGGTAGGTGGCGCCATCTCGAGGATGGGTTGCGGCGTCGTTGAGCCGTGGGCATGGCCGTCGCTCTCCTCCCCCCCTCCCTCCCTCCCTCCCTCCCTCCTTCTCCCACTTGGCGTCTATCATGGCCAGCCGCTGCCGCTCCAACTCCATCTCCTCATACACCGTCTTAAACACGCCCTTCGTCGACTCCGAGAGGACTCCGATCTTGAACAAGCTGACTCGGATCTTGAACGCCCCTCATGCATGCGGGAATGGTCGAGAGACACGTACATGGAAATATAAAATGTAGGCAGCGATGATGAAACACTCCCTCCCTCCCTCCCTCCCTCCTTCCTTCCGTCTGGGTCGTTGTTGAGCCCTCAAGGCAGCGGCTGTTGATGAGCAGGTTGTTGAGCCCGTGGTCGGGGCAGACCATGCCGTACTTCTCCTGTGCCCTCTTTAGCACGGTGGCTGCCGCGTGGCGGCCACGGGCGAGCGTCGCGACTTTTGCCAGTGACTCGAGGGGGCTGTCCGGGTCGTCCCAGGGGTTGTTCTCCCCGATGTCGGCCATGTTGCGGCCCACGCCCTGCCATATCAGCTGGTACAAGCTGGGGTAGTTGTCTGACAACAGGCAGACATCACTTGATCACATGTACCGGCGTGCCGCATTGCTTTCTTTTTCCTTGTTGCTCACTGTTCAGGCACTGCTGCTCAAGGTACACATACTTCTGGAGCGGCGAGAAGGGGTCCTCACGGTAGGTGGCGCCATCTCGAGGATGGGATGCGGCGTCGTAGAGCCGTGGACGGAGCGGTCGCTCTCCTCTCCACTCCCTCTGCCACTTGGCATCCATCATGGCCAGCCGCTCCCTCTCCAACTCCATCTCCTCACGCACCGTCTTAAATACGCCCTTCGTCGCCTCACAGAGGGAGGCTATCTTGAAGGCCCGCCCGTCGCCGTTGATGCAGCCGGCCCGGACGACGCCGGGCGTGCCTTCGCCCAGCAGGGACGGCAGCCGTATCTGTGTGCCGTCGGGCTTGGTCAGAATGGGCGCTTGGTACTTGTCGCAAGGGCCTTGGTGCTGCCAGTAGGTGTGCATCCCGTCATGATGAATGTGAGGCTACGGGGGCCGGGCTCATGCATCCTGTAGGGCACCCACATACACACACAGAAGGATTGACATGTGAATTGGTGCGTGGCGTGGGGGTAGACGGATATCTCACTCGAGCTCGACGGATATCTCACTCACTCAATCGCTTCGATGGAGGTCGTATCCCATTATGACGTCAATCTCCCATCTGCCCTCGCTCAGGTCCGCCACGGCCGCGCTCCTCACCGACTCCCAAGCCGACGGCGAAATCGTGAACGTCTGACAGGACACGCACACACAGACACACACATACATACACACGCCGGTCATTGTGTATGCGGGCACGCACACTCACCCGCATGTTTGAGTCGTATGTGGCTACTGTGTAGAGCTGCCGCCCCTCATACGCGCTGCAGCCCGCACTCTGGTACGTTTCATGGTGGGCAGGATACATGTCAGCGCCGAAATCCCCACACACAGTTCCTGACCCCGCCCCCCGCTCGACAGCATCTGCCAGGCAACGAACCGAGCCGATGTGGGCTTCTTGCCAACCCCTGGAAGGGTGGTGGAGCAGCGGCGGAGGGGGGCGACGGAGGTGGGGGAGGTGACGGCAGCGCGGCAGGAGGCTGTAGTGTTCTCAGTGTTTGCTGTATCGTGGACAGTGTTGTCTGTATCGTGGACAGATCCGCGCGCACAGCTTAGTCGAATCGGCTCCTGGAGGTCCACACTGGATGCCTTTAGGCGGCAGGTCCCCGTCACCGCGACTGAGCTGATGACATATTTGCCCTTGCTTGTCCAGTTGCGCAGCCCCCTGCCCGTTTTGTCCTTTAGCTTGAAGACGAGGGGCTGTATCTTGAAGTCGTATTGCATTTGAAGGGACTGGATGGCCGTCGGTGGCTCGTCGCTGGGGGGAGGCGGTGGCCCGACCCCGTGGACGTAGGGCTGCGCCTTGGCGACTGGGGGTGTGGGTGTATGTGTGTCTGTCTCTGTTGTTGGCGTGCGGGGAGGGGGCGGGGAAGGGGAAGGGTGGGGTGGCACGGTCGGTACGCTGGGCTGGCTGGTGGTGTTGTTGGTAGGTGGAGAGGAGAACTGCGGGCCAGGTGGAGTGACGAAATGGGCATTCTGAGGGCGCACACATAGTCAACACGACACGACGCGTACATACACACATGGTCGATTCGTTCGTGAGTTGTGTTGTGTTGTGTTGTGTCGGGTAAGTGGTCATCCGTACGTACCTGTGGATTCATGGCTGTGTTGTTGTCCACGGCGTTGGATGAACTCGGCTGCACATGGGGGTCACGAGACACATCCTGCTAGAATACACAAACCGACAAAGAGGGAAAAAATGCCGTTTCGTATGCCTGTGTCTATCTGGATACGGGGACACTGACGCACCGGTGTGTTGGTGTAGGGGGTGATGTTGTGAGGGAGTGTCGGTGGCGTCTGATGTCTACCGGTGTCGTACGCATCTACTTGTCCCCTGCCACGGCCCGCGCCCTGCACGAAGGCAGGCCGATTTAGCAACACACACACAACCGAGGAACATCCGTGTGTACCTGAGGCATTGCGGCAGGGCAGGCGTAACCCTGAGGCTGCGGGTACTCACCACCCTACACAACCCACAGGCAGGCAGAAAGAACAACCACACACGCAGCGCCCACATCCGCATAACAACCGTAAGTGTGCTGTGTGTTGTGTCGCTGCCAACCGCTGCCGCTCCGATTCCATCTCCTCATACACCGTCTTAAACACGCCCTTCGTCGACTCCGAGAGGACTCCGATCTTGAATGCTCTGAAGTCGCTGCTGCTGTTGACGTAGCCACCCCTGACGGCGCCGCGCGTGCCCTCGCCCACCAGGGACGGCAGCCGCACCTGTATGCCGTCGGGCTTGGTCAGGACGGGCTCGTCGAAAAACATCTTGGGGAAACAGCTGCTCCTCACTGCTGTCCTCTCGCACAAAGAGCTTATCCTCACTGCAACAATTGGCTGAGCCGGTGCTTGGTGCCGCCAATTGGTGTCAAGCCCGCGTCCCGCTGGCCTGCCTGCGAGGCCTCCCTCCCCGATTGAACCCTCCAAGCCTCCCTCTCCCCGACACAACACCGAGCCCCGCACCCTGACCGCACAACGCACACAACCCGAGGGATGGATGGATAATTGCATCGGTAGGTGTTGTTGTACCTGCTGTGGTATGGTTGGTGGTTACATCTCCAAACGGCCGCACCAGTGGCGATTTTGAACGCTTTCCAGTCGCTGGCCGGAATGAGCGAGAAAAAAGGAGGACGTCTCGAATTCTCGACGCGGGCCCCAATCTCGCCCCTCAACCCCCGCGTCACCAACGAAAGTTCATGAGAGCTATCGCCATCCTCGAATGGGGTGAGCATCGCAACAAAAGCCGCCAGCTTCATAATTGCGCCTGTTGCCTGTTCGTCAGGGCCGCCCGGTTTGCGCGGTGTGCATCCCCACCAGAAGTTGAAGGTGCGGACCGACTGGCTCGACCACGGGCCTGTGCTTCCGCCCTTCCTCTTCATCAGGGGCGAAGAAACCAAACCGGAAAACCTCGTCAAAGTCCGATTCGCGTTCTCAGGTAACTACACACCGCGCACGAAGAAGCGGACACCTTCCCTATTATGTGATGTTGGCAGCCTATGATACTTTGGACTATGCCATCCGCAACCTCAGGAAAGCCTTTGGCCACTGCTACCCCGAGGCAATCGGTTGGCGAACAAGGCGCACAATGCCATGGGGGGTTCTCTTGGTGTGTATCGGCCTGTCGGTGCGTGTTTTCAGGCTATGTGAGCACGTTGGCGAATCGGCACCGTTGCCGGATAGAGCACCTGCCACTGATGGAGAAGCTGCGGCGCTGGGCGATGCTGGCGCACATCGATGTATGTGATGGATGGATAGATGGGTGAATGGACAGCGACCCGGATGGACATCTGGGTGTGGTTGATGTTTGTAGGCCATTCTGTGGATCGACTACGACAACTATAGAAGGAACAAAGTACTAAAGAGGAAATACGCGGCCGTCAGTCAGTCTGTCTGTCTGTCTGTCTGATTGTCTGTCATGTGTGTCCGGCCGCAGGTGCCTCCCGGCCCTCCCCCCCTTCACGCATCGGTGCCATACGGTCCCAACATCCTCGATGTCATTGTGGAAGGGGGCGCAAAGCCCAGCAAGGCGTCGGACCGCGCCGACAAACCCAAGCAAAAAGACCCCAGGGACCAACGAGAACACGATCAAGACAAGAAAAGGATGTCTGACCTCGACATAGAGTTCGTGTCAGCGGGCATTTTGCCCAGCCTGCGGGGCGAGAACCACCCCAGAAGGGTCTCTCACACAGTGGCGGAGAGCAGCCAGCCTCGGCTGGGCTCGGTCATGTCTGAGCAGCCACCCGTTGTGAGCGCCACCCCCACCCTCCCTCCCGTGGCACAAGCTAAAGCGGACACGCCCCCGTCGCACCTGACAGACACGGAGAGGGCCCAGACCAGCAGACGGCCGTCGCGCACCGCGGCTGAGGTCACTAGAAGAGGATCGTCTGGCCCAGAGGGGGAGGTCATGTCTCCCAAGGACTCGGGCGGTGCTCGGAAGAAGGCCAAGCTCAAAGAAGATGGGGAGGCTGCTGGAGAGGATGAGAAGGCCGCAAAGGGGTCGACACTCGTGTCCAAAATCCTGGTGAGACACGAGCAGCGGCCGAATGATGGCGTGTGTTATGTATGTCTGTATGTGTATGCAGGCCCGTGCAGCCGAGATGGATGACGAGCTGCAGCTGGAAGTGGTGAGCCGGAAAGGGCAGGCAGGGAGGGCAGGAAGGATGATTATCGTGCGGCATGCATGTACAATATTTCCCTCTACTATCTGTCTCGCCTGTTAGATCCGTCCTTTCGGCTGCATTTATCCACGATCCTACACACCTGGTGCGCCACTAGCGACACAGCACACACCAGCACATTCCAACATCCTTCGTCTGCCTCACTCACGCAGGGCCTGGCCGCTACTCTCTCATTGCTCGATCCCAATTCGGGTGGGTCACGGCTGGCCGCGAGATCACACAGACACCTGAATGACATATCATGTGGTTGGTTGGTTGGTTGATCAGCAAACCTCCTCCCTTCAACGATCCCTATGCGTCCCCCCCGCCCCGCTGGTCACGCAAAGGGCCAATGTTCAAGGGCAAACCCCTCCACACGTTCGACCAGCTGGCCAAGAGAGCGAAGGAGGTGCCGGCCTCATGGGATTATTTCGACCACACACATGAGTTGGCCTATAAGAGCTTCGGTGGCAGCATTCCTCCGTCGCCATCGATGTCCACCTCACGATATGTGTCGACCCTCGAGCCATCCACCACTCTGCGCTCATCGGCCCAGGACGCGTCGACCATCGGTGGCCCCAGCCTGACGGAGCCGGAGGGGTCGATGTCCACCCCCAAGCAGCACAGAGTGCCGCCTCTCAAGCTGGGGGGTAAGCGGCTGGTTTTGTCGGTGTACGTGTGTCTGCTGCTGGGGGAGGGATGGGTGGGTCATGTTATTCATGTCTCATGTGGTGTTGACTTTGTGTGCAGGCCACTCGTTTGCGGTGGAGAAGAAGATGAAGCTGCCCACAGAGGTAGACACGCACTCACTCACTGACTCAGTTGATGAGGGGTAGCCAGAGGTGCACGCATTGGTCTGCACGCGTGTCTGTACAAGTGCTACACACGTACACGGCAACCCCTCTGCACATACGACAACGAATGTCTCCATTATCTCCGCCTGCCTGCCTGCCTGCCTGTCCTTTGCCTGCAGCGAGGCGTCAAAGTGCTCTCAGCCGCACTCGCAGCAAAGGAGAACCTCTTAGTACACGGCAGTGGTATGCATCCGTCCATCCATCCATCCATGAATCGATGAACACACAGAGCCAAACTAATCACGTGTGTGTGTTTCTTACTGCAGGGAAGCTCTACTGGCACCTTCTCACCGAGCGATCGAACCCCAAGCGCAACTCGCCTCGCTTCTCTGCGCCAAAATCGCCTCGGTTCTGATACGCTTCCTATGCTATTCTGTCTCTCTCTCTTGCTGCAGCCCATGTGTTTATTGATACGCCCATTCACGAATCCGCCAGCCAGCTGAGCTGCTCTCTATTCACCAACCAATGCATCCATCCATCCACTCGTCAACGGTCCCCATTTTTGCCCGGGCTGGCCTTGCTCGCTCGTTTGGTGGTGGACACGACAGACAGAGACTCTTTCTTGCATGCGACTGCCCTCGACCGACCGACCGACCGACCGATGGACACCTCCTGTTGACTCGTATCATTCATCCATCATATGACGCCGGTCTTGTCGAGTACCTGAAGCATCAAATACGCACATCAGGCATCGAATACACGCAGGAGTTGTCCAATACACGCACCAGTTGCAGTGCTGCCCAGCAGATCACCTGTTCCACGATGAGGGCTGAGGCGATGCCAATCATGATAGCGAGCGTTATCTTGCCGCCCGGCACCAGAGGAGGCGTGGCAGCCAACCTGACACACACCATACACGAGCAGAGATAAGAAAGAGATGGTGCCTCGAATGTCCGTCCTCATTGCATGCTCCTACGTGGCCGTGTTGTAGCGCTCGTTCCACGCCATGGCAGCTGGTATGATGCCGAACAGCACCGAGATGCCAAACGTGCCAGCATTGTCGAGCGCTCCGAAGAATATTTGTGGATCGATGGCGGCCACGATGGCTGGCGGGATGAGTATGGTGCAGTAGAGCGCTGCCCGCTCTACTGCTGGCGATGCCTTAGAGAGCGAAGGGAACCCACGCCACAAATCCTGCATACATGACGCGAGAGGAGGGGAGGGAGGGAGGGAGGGAGGGAGTCGATTATGTACACTGCCATGGTATGTGTGGCGCACCGACCGATAGGAAGTCCAGCAGGCCGATAACAAAGCCTATGAAGCTCGTCACGATGGCTGAATACGACAAAGGGGGAGATCAGTAGGGGAGTCTCTGAAGTGTTTCAGAGTGACTGACCAAATTCAGAGAAGACGCTCACAAGGGATCCCAGAGCAGCGCCGCCAGAGCCGCCCCGCAATTGTGCCAATGGATCGAAGATCTCACCTGGACACCAAAAAAGAGACAGCCACTCCACACATGTTCTCACTGCACAGTTTTGTGTCGTGTGGTATGGTTTGTGTAGACCTCACCGTCGCCAGCGGCCTCTTTGACTGTCTGAATATCGGTCCCTCCGATGATAACAGCATTCCACAGCAGGAACATGACCAATGGGATGGCACTGCCCCGCACAATGGCGTTGGTGATCTTGGTGGTGCTGCCCTCCAGCTGAGTGCAGATGACCGGCACCACATTGTGATATACAAGCGCAACAAACATGACGGGGATCGCCGGGGCCACTGACTTCCAGTCCGTGCGTAACAAAGCAGACGGGTCGACCTGAGTGATACGGAAGGGCGCACAACACAAGCCATCCATCGTGCGTGTCCTCCCCTGTCCCGTCCCTGTCCGTCCCTCCCTCCCACCCACCTGTGTCGATGCGAGTGTCAACAGGCCAAGGAACGATGTTATGACCACCAGCACAAACACGTTGTTGACCTTCTCCACAAACCCTGGAGAGCCAAGAAAGAGAAACCCGCCAAAGAGGACTGCAAAGGTGGCAGCCTCAACCTGAATCAGGAAAGGTGGACATGCCAGAAGGCACAGGTGCATGTGCATAAGTACATGTATGCGTGTTGTTTCACTGTGTTGCTGGTCACTCACCGGTTGCGGCAGCGGCTCATCCATCCCGGTCAGTTTCTGGATGGCCACACCAAGGATCTCTCCCCCCTGAGCCATATAGGCCACCAGCAGCGCATAATGAATAAAGACATAGGCCAGACCGCTCAGCCGGGACCCCCATTTCCCAATCGTCTGCTCCGCCATGGAGAGCAGCGACAGGTTGGCCTGCCCGAGGTTGCAGCATGTGTTGAGGTTGACCTCAGCGATGAGCAGCCCACTGGCCACCATGTAGACCCAGCAGAGGATGAGGGTGAGTGAGGACGGGATGACGCCCGAGGGGAGGGTGACGGCAGGCAGGGCCAGTATGCCAGCTCCGACAGTGGTGCCTGCCACGAGGGAGGTGGCGCCGAGTTCGCTGCCCTCTCTCCTCTCAAACTTGCCATCGCGGAGCTCCAAGTTGGAGAACAGCCGCTCCACCTCGCCCGTACCCATCTCATCAAATGCCAACTGCACACGCACAAGCACAGACAAGCACAGGAGCCAGCATGACAGACATGCCATGAGTCCTGTGTAATCGAACTTGCTCACTTCCACATCTCTCAACGAGGCCGCCGGCCCGATGGACAGATCTTTCGCCTCCTCATCTTGATCTTCCGTGATCTCTTTCATCTCCGTCATGACCCCCGCACCCTCCCTGATGCTGCTGCCCCTCCCCTCTTGCGTGTCCAGCTCTGCGTATTGGTGGCTGCCGCGGCTGCGACCACGCCTGTGCTGTGTCGGGGATGTCCGTTCAGCCATGCTGGTTGGCCCTAACGGGACGATGAATGGCGGAGGGCGTGGAAGGAAGGCGACAGGTGCAGGGGAGGCAGCAAGGGCACTCGCCGCAAATGCCGATGATACGAAAAGAGGGCGCATTCAGAGCATGCTCATTCACTCAACACAACCATAGATCTGCGAGCTCGGAATTCCTTGGAAATTTCAGCTCGCACGTTCCCGACCAATCTCGTCATCTGCCGCTTCCTTGCTCTCGGTCCTTCGCTGCTGGCTTCAGTTTGCCAGCAAAACTCAGCCCTCACATTGCAAACCGGCAAATCGATGAAGATGGCCCGGCTTGCTGTCCTTGCTTGCCTCATAGCTGCCTCCCCGGCAGCCTTGGCAACTCGAGTGGGGCCCCGAAGTGCGCATTTGCACCAAGCTCCTCGTCTCCTCACGGTGTAAGCTGTCCGCAAGACGGAAGAACAGGCTTTCTTGCTTGGGTCTGTGATGTGTGCAGGGCGTGTCGACGAATTTGGGTCTTGTGATGGATGTGACGCCAAATAATGACAACACAAGTGCCACTATTACCTTTTCGGACCCGCAGAACCAGTCGCCCAGACAGGTACTCCTTTCTATTCAGTGTATGTGCCTCCGGCTGGCTGGTTGGCTATGTATCTATCTATCTGTCTGTCTGCCTGTCTTCCTGAAGTACAAGGGCGTGTCAATCACTGCGTCCCACGGCACTTTCACGTCTTTTCCCACGGGACTGCAAGCATACACTGACTTTGACGGGTGCGGCACTGCAAGCCACCAGACTTCTCCAAGCCACCAAGTCACGCACACAACTGGCGATCTGAAAGGTACATATACAGACACCTCGCGTGAATGCATCTGCATGTGACTCTGTGTGCATTGCCTTGCAATTGCAATCGGCTGTCTGCATCCATCCATCCATCCATCCATCCATCATCTGTGTGTCAGACTTGTCAGCCTTGCAGGTCGAGTGGGCGCATGAGGGGGCGGCAGCAGACGTGACATTCCGAGGGACAATTGTGCTCGACTCCGCCCAAAAGTACCAAACATTCGACGAACAGCAATTGTCGGTCGCAGCAGTGATGACGACACGTGAGTTGAGTGAGCCACAGGGCCCACAGGTAGATTCTTCTTTCATGTCTCATGGATAGATGTGTGTGTCTCTTGTATGTATGTATGCGTGCGTCTCGTTTATGCAGCTGGCCCTACGGACACGGAGGGTCCGACGAGCAGCCCTTCAGTCAGCGACACGACTGCCGCAGACACCACAGCGACGCCCACCGACCCTCAAACCGACCCACCATCCGACGACAAGGATCGAGCGCGCGCCAGAACATCGCTGTCACTTCAACCGCTGCTCTTGCCGCCATTGGCTCTCTGCTGCTCTTCTGAACTTTCTTCCGAACTTTTTTGCTGTCCTAGGTAGGTAGCATAGCACTATGTGCTTACACACGCCAGTCAGGAGGGCCACTGGTTCTCTGCTTTGCTGTCTGTGCATGGGGACGGTGGGTGGCCTCCTGTCTTGGTGTATGTGTGCACGTGGACAAAGACAGCAGGGCCCGCGAATGCATGCAGGCTGCCTGTCTGTCTGTGCGTGCATGGTCGGTCCATGATTGTATTTACACTCCATGTTTCACCAAGGGAGGTCTGTCGATACACACAGGGATTACGTCCATGAGCGAATACCGTCGACGAGACATGTCGTATCACGCAAGTGAGTGACATCACTCGGCCACAGCCATGTATGAAGTAATCAGTGCTGCTGTGGGGAGAGCCACAAACAGGGGGAGGGAAAACCGGTGGTCGGCTGCCGAGTCATCAGGCGATGCTGTGGGCGGCGGATCGCCTGCAACACAAGGCAGCATTTGGCGTGTGCATATCTATTGCAGTGTGTCTCGTGTATCCCTTGCTCTGGTTGCGTACCGGAACCATCAGTGCCTGCATCGACGTTGATGGTTATCTGAACAATATAGGCAGGCCAGGCCCGACATCACAGCCTTCTACGCATACGGTGTGTGTCTCTGTGCTGGCAGCGAGTGCCTGCGCTTACCGGGTTGAGTGTCTGATATCTCGAATAACTCTCAGCAATCACGCCATCGAAACGGACACTTCCAGCCCTGTCTTCTGAATAAAACCAAGCAATCTGATAGGTTGCCGGCTCAAACTCTGTGTCTGCCCCGTTTCCATCACCTTTGTTGAACCACTTGATGCCCATGGGAAGAGCTACCGACGCACAAAGAGGTACGTGGAGGGCATGGATCGAATTGTAGCATCCATCGCACTCTCGTACTTTTTGCTGCGCTATCTTCGTGCGTGAATTGTGGGCCGCTGTCACAGGATCGTTCCTGCAGCTCCGCGGGTAGGTCGTAGAAGCCTCCCCTGCTGGCAACCACACTCATCCCTGCATACTTCACACACCCCGACAAAGAGAACACACACACGTCCATCCGTCGTCGATCGTCTTCGCTGCCCCGGCCGGCCCGCCCCTTTCCGCCTTACCGTCCCTCCACTGAATGAGATTGTTGCCCCACCATCACTCGTCTTCTCGATTGTCCATGAGTAGCCCAGGCTGGTTCTCGTACCGTGGCCAGGCCGCGTGCTGCAAAGAGGAGCGCCAGATGGATAGGCGAACGAAGGGAGAAAGAGCAGCTGCAGCACCAAGGCCACCTGCCGTGGGGCTCGCGCAAGGGCCCGTGCCGAAGGAAGATCTGGCTTGCCCTTCACGATAATTCCCATCTTTTCGACGCCGCAAAAGATCGGGGGCGACAGTCGCCGCTGAGTCGCGCTGCCGATCGCCGGCCCACGGGGAACTCCATTCCTCTCTTCAAGACCACTTTGAAGGTGGCTTGGACCACGATGTACGCCCTGCAGACTCCCCCGCGCGGTCTCTCCACTCCATCGCCCCGTCGTTCCTCCCCCATGGCGACCCCCAACGACGTCACTATCACATACACAGACGACAGCCGCAGCCCCGTCCATGCGATGTCATTGACCAGGCAGAGTTACTGGATTGGCTACCACACCCAGGCGAACCCCATCATTCGCCCCGCCATTCTCTTCGTTATGGCCGTGTTCTTTCTCATTGGCGGATTCATCGCACTGGTCGGAAAGGGGGAAGGATGCATTGGCCCTCAGCTTGCCTTCATGGCCTGCTTTGTCGGTTTGTGTGTTCTCAGGGCAGCCATCACTGGTCGAGATGGAGCGGCATTGGGGCGATTGGTATTGCTTTCTTCCTGGCTGGCTGCTGGCTGTTCGACTTGCACATCAAGGCCTTCCGCGTCCCCAGAGTTCTGCGCAGAACGCCCAATGCCTTCGTGCTGCAGACAATGTGCTGGTCTTATCGACTCAGGACCGACGAGACGGCCGGCATGTTGCGAGTAACCAATGCAAAGTACCAGGATGAGACACCCCAACCCATCCCTCTGGAGGTGTCTTACGCCGGCGAAATGACGAGCTACGACGGCGTCCTGATCTTTCCTATCGACAAGAGAAAGAGGGCCCTGCTGTTCTCGCCGCTCGTGTCTGCCAATCGGTTTCTGGCGGACAACAGTGGTGCCGTGAAGGGTCATGGGATGGGGCTGGCGGCTGTGTATGGGCGGCTGACGTACGAGGCGCCCCTCACCACGCCGCGCGCCAGATGCTGAGGGACGAACAGAGAGGTGCAGACAGGCAGGTGCAGACAGGCAGGTGCAGACAGGCTATTGCTTTTCCATTTCGTTGGATTTTGCCGCCATGGCAACCTGTGTGTGTGTGTGCGTGGAGGGAAGTGTGTAGACGCGTGTGTGGGTGTGTCTGTATGGTGACATTCATTTCGTGACGCGTGTGTGCAATCGATGGCGGGGGCCAATTGAATGGATTGGTGGCCGACACAAAGTATGAGCATACATCAATCGGACTATGTACAAGAAGGGACAGTCTGACCGGCCGGCATGGGTATTTGTCAACCACTGATACACACAAACGTACGGATGTATGTATTCACAGCTAGCTAGCTACTTCAGTCAGTAGCTCAAGTCTCCCGTCAGCTCACTCTTCTTGCGAGCTGATCGGTAGAATGAAATACACACACACACACACACAAATACACACACATTCCCATCAACTTGAGAGGGAATGGCGCCAATTCCCCGCCCGTACCTATTTTCATCCTGGTCTCGAGTGTGTCCTTGAGCAGGGGGCTGAGGAATTGAGTGCGGAAGAAGTCCACGTACGGATCCAGCGATGTCTTGCTGGGACCTGACCCATCACACATCACGGCACGCACAACCACAGTGGGTTTCGTTGGGTGGCTTTTCGTTTGGGGGCATGGATGGATCGAGCTCACCCATCTTGGCGTCGCTTTCCCCGCTATCCACTTCGTCCACCAGACTCCCTGGTTTAGACACACCGGACGGGTGTCACTGTTGTGTCTGCCATGTGTGTATGCATGTGTGTGGTGCTGACTGAGTGTGGGCACGGCGGTGGGATCGAAGAGATGCGCCTTCTCGGGGTCGATCGGCACACACACGCGACCTGAATGCATCAGTCAGGGAATCAATGACATTCACGCAGGCACCAAAACGCATTCTATTCTCGCCTAACGATGCTGTCCTGTCTGAGTGTGTGGTCACCCACCTGTTTTGGGGTGCACGCAGAAGGGCGCCTTAAGCAGATGGTTGAACCCCTTGCTGGCCAAAGAACAAAGCACAGGGATGCAATGCAATGCAGCGAGCCAGCGAGCTGCATACGTGTGTGTGGCTGGCTCTGACCTGACGTTGATGTCCAGTCTGGGGAACGCGTAGGCGACCTTGACCTCCGACATGGCAGACAAGCACTGCCGCTTGAGGGCTTCGTTCCTGGGGACCTTTCCCCACTTGTCCACAGTGTCCTGCAGGCACACACACCACACACGCCACACTACGGACGGCATCAGCTTGTGTCGTGCAGTGCAGTGCATGGGTGTCTGTGTTGTCTGTCCATGGACACACCCACCCACCCACCCGCAGGAACTGCCAGAGCTCGACCGATGTGAATCGCGAGTACTTCTTGTCCTCGGTGATCCACCTCTGCAGCTCCTTGTGCACTGCACCACACACAACACACACACGGGTGCGGTGCTGCCTGGCAGTTGGCGCATTCACTCACACTCTGTTGGGAGGTACTGGAGGAGTTTGTCGATGTGCGTTGAGCCCTTGTCGAACCACTTCTGCTGCTGCATGAGCTTGCGCCAGCCCCAACGGTCGTCCTCCAGCACCTGCAACGCTACCCTGATCAATCAATACACACATGACACACACAGACAGAAATGCCCCCGTCTTTCTCTGTGTTGTGTATGAATGTATGTGGGTGTGGTGTGGTGTACTTGGCAATGGGTGGCGGATCTCTCTTGTAGAAGTTGACCCTCTTGGCCATCTTGTCGGTGCCCTGCGTGCCGGGCCGTCCCGTGCCGTGCATAGAGAGAGGGACGTCAGTACGGAGGGTGTGGTGTTGATGTGTCCATTGAGCTCCCGCACCCACATCGTACCGTGATGATGCTGATGTAGTCGGGAACTGCATCTCGCGACTCACGCGGCATCGTGCGGGCCCTCTCGTCACACACCTACGCACACAAACAGAGAGAAACAAAACATAACACGTCAAACCATGGATGGAGCTGGTGCGTTGACGTCAACGCAGCGGCCGGCTCCCTCCCTCCCTCACCCAGCAGTGTATGCCTCGCCGGCCCGAGTAGACGAACAGCAGGTTGTGGAAGTCGAAGTCATCTGCAAACACAACACAGCCATACATACACACAAACAGAGACAATGAATCCATCTGGGAGGACCCGTGTGTGCACGACTGTGTGGTGGCCTGTGAACACACCCCTGAGCAGGCGATCCAGGACCTTGACAGCTACCGTCATGAAATTCCTGCACGCACCATAGCCGCCCCGGGGCAGTTCAGTTGCCAAGTCATCCATACATACCCACCCCAATTAATTTGCCCACGGCGGGCCTACCGTACCAGCACTTGAGGCATATGTTTGCCTCACGGCAGCAGCTGCGGACGTCATCGTAGTCCGTCATGTCTATGTCAAACACCAACTCCTGCGCCAACACACCACATACCACACCACAACATCCACGAGTGCCCCCTCGCTCACACACCCATACGTGTCCTCTCGTCTCACCTTCTGCTGAGGCTCGAAGCTGCCCGTAGCAGAGTCCTTGCGATCCACCTGCACACGCGCACGTCCCTCTCCCGTCCCCTCAATGCAGCCACCCACCCATGTGTGTATGCAGCCCACAGCCCACCTCTCTGTTGTAGATGGCCCCGATGTCTATCTTGACAGGGTTGTGGAACTTGAGGGCGTTCCTGAAGCTCTCCAGCTTCCTGTAGCACTGCCATCGGATGTAGATCTCGTCGCCGCTGTCCGTGTACTTGGTGAACGAAAACTCCCGCTTCGCCAGGAAATGCGGATCAATCTTCTCGCCGGTGGTCACGCGACGCACGTCGGGAGGATCTGTGGAAGCACAGACAGCACATCCATCCATCAATCAATCAATCCATCCATCCATCAGTGTTTTCTGTGTGTGCGTCTGTCACCATGGCGGCAGCAAAGCCACTTGATGATGTCCTCCGAGGGAAACAGCAACGCTGCGAACACACACAGAACGCCAGGCAGCCAACCAATGAATTGGAGCATCGCCCATCGTCCACAGTTCAGTGGCGTCCTCACCATAGTAGATTCTGAGCAGATCTAAGTCGAACTCCTTCCCGCCTGATGGTGCGGCAGCAGCAGCAGCAGCGGCAGCAGGTCTGAGGTTGGCGCCGTTCGGCTTCTCCTGCTTGGCGTTGGCCTCGTCGTGTGTCCTTTTCCTGCTCTCCGCACTCTCATCCATCACCAAAAACAACAATCTACACCCGCGACAAAAACCCTGCACTCGAAGGGTCAAGGGTTTTAATGTGAATTGGGGCCACAAGACGGAGCCGACATCAGACCGTCCCGCTGTCGGCGCATCCGCGACGAGACGACGCGAATCCGCGACGAGACGAGACAGGCGGGCGTTTTTCTTTTTTCTCCCAGATAAGGAAGCTCGAACCATTGAGAAGGTGGCCGTTCTTGAGGGCCGCTGAAGGACGCCAGCTATGCGACCGTCTGTCTGCTCTGCTCGAGGCCATCAGGAAGGAGGAGAGCCGCCAACGTCCGACGTCCACGTTTGCAAGATAGTACCGATGCGCAGCTGCCCAGACGGGAAAGAGGTCGAACATGCGGGGACTGCAAGACGGGCTTGCGTATGCCGTGGTGGTTTGTGTGTCCAGATCGCGCCTGCAACCGCGTGAAGCCGCTGCGGGCACGAGGAAGGAAAAGGACGAATGTCAGTCTGGCCAAAGGTGGCCCTGTTGCTGCGTCAGCTATACAGGACGCCCGCCACCCTTGACAGGCAGAGCGAGGCCACGACGGACGCGATGACGGCCTGGGACGAGCTCATCACCACCTGGCTTATCACCTACATCAAGGTGGCCTAGTACGACCAGCCTACCATCACGAGTGCCGGAGGGCATGAGAAGACGACGGCCCTGGCTAGAGAGGGTCCTCCATCAATGGCTGGTGAACCAGCAGCGGCGCCTGTATCTGGCGACATCGGCAGCGAGGCGGCATGTAACTGGAAGACCTTCGTGGTCATGGCAGCGTCCGCTCTCTTGCTGTCCGCATGGCTTGTGACCGCAACAGACAGGTGGCATGTGAGCGCAGAGGGAGGCCACTTATCTAGCTTCTTCCTTACGCATACCCCTGTGTGTCCGTTCTATCGATGCGTCTACTGTCATTCAGATGAGCACAAGAAGAGTGAGCTCAACCACAACCTCCGCGATCAGGTGGACGTGCTGACCGCACTCGTGGCATGCGCCGTCCCGTACTGGGATGTGCTGGCCACAGCCGCCCTCGCAGACGTCGGGACCTACTCAAATATCAGACACAGGTAGGCGGGCATTGTCAATTGGGCATTGTTTCATGCAAAGGAAGGCAGAAAAAACCACACCCACGGCTGGCTGGCTGGTTTGCTTTTCCATCTCAGGCTGTTTGGCGCTGTTCCCGTCGTACCAGCTGTACTACCACCGCGTGAAGACCCAATGCAACTTCAGGCGCCTGATGACGGCCACGGCGCGAGGGCTCTGCCGCCATCCCCAATCTTGCCGCCGCCACCACCAGCGCCGTAGCCATACGCCGGCTCCATCGGCGAGCGGTTTGCCATCGTGAGGGGCAGCCTCAAGCATGATGGCAACAACAGCACCCATTCGGCCTCACCAATGCCACCCAAATGTCATGCTCCGCAGCGTCACGTTTCGGGGCTTCCGCGGGGACGGCAGTGGGGCCACCTCATGTTGTGCAGGAGCTGGCCGAGCTGCAGGCGACGCTCGAGCGCCTCATGCGCAAGCTGAGGAGGGAGGGCCGGATCATGGACGCCATCAACCCGCTGATGGGAGGGCGGCGCATCGTTCCCCGGCTGGTCGCGTGGGGGGACGTGGGGGGCGAGGAGGAAGGAGTGGCCATGGCCAGAAGGACGTCACGGGGTGCAGAAGCGATGCGGCGCCGTCCCCCTGCTGATGCTCTCGATCGTATGGGAGGAGTGGAAGAGGACGGACCGGTGCATGCAGCAGGACATGACGGTGGCGCGCAGGAGGAGCGTAGTAGCGTTGGAGGGCACCTTCGTCATGATGGAGGCGATAGGTAGGCAAGCTGATAGCAAGCGCACACCATCCACCAAAGCAAGATACATAGGTACACACATGGCTTCCGTTGCTGTGTGTGTGGCCGTGCAGACTTCGCAGATGCGCTAGAGCGGCGACTCATGAACGACCGCGGTGACCCTGGTATGCAGGCACCTACACATCAATACGACAAGTACATGCAGTCGGTTGTTCATGTGCGTTTCCCTTCTTTCTATGAATACAGATGAATACTTCGCATCGCTGCGATTTGAGGGCAAGTCGGCCCTGGAGCTGTTCAACGACCAGCGGCAAGGCTGCCTCAGCCCCATGGGCTGGTGCGTGCCCCTCACCGGCGAGTTTCTCAGGGCCCTCGAGGCCTGCAGGCGGCTGCAGAAGCGCCTCCAGCGCGCAGCCCGGTAGGCGCCCGTCCATCACCAGCAGCAGCAGCCAATAGGCAGCAGCCCCCCGAGAGGGAGGACGTTGAGGGCGACGACCCTGCCGCCGGTCGGGAGGAGGAGGGGGAGGAGGATGATGATGACGCCTACTCGTGTGACAGCGTGTCGGACAGCAGCGACGAGGAGGAGGAAGACGACGAGGACGAGAAGCCCACCAGCCGCCCTGCCAACAAGGTGCCCAAGGAGTGGCGAGTCGAGCGGGGGCCTGTCAGCCTCCTCGACCTCTATCGCGTGCGGGCGGGGGATGACCTGGGCGACGTGAGGGCAAGGCTGCAGCGCATCAAGAGGGCGGTGGAGGGCCTGGGAATGGAGGGACGGCACTTTCGTCAGGTGGCCGCGGCGGCACTGGACACCCTCAATCATCTGCACGGCTACGGATTCATCCACGGCGATGCCAACCCTTCGAATTTCCTCCTGCGCTGGCTGGGTAGCGGCAGCGAGGCAGCGAGCAGCACGCGGGGCAATTCGTCGTTCGAGGTCACGGCCATCGACTTCGAATTCACCCTCCCCATCGCTGCCTCACGTCGCCCCGTTGCCGCATCACGGGTGGACGACCTGCCGGCTGTCCCCGTGTTCGAGCCCTGGACCGCCCCAGAGGCCCAGCGAGACTTGGCGACGGCCATCGTCAGCACTTGGCCGCTCGAGGACCCTCTGAGGTTCTACCTGCCCCAGTCGCAGCCCATCGCCAGCTCAGGCCCCCTCTCATTCGCCCTCCACCCCACCGTCCAGCAGGACGCGTACTCGATTGGGCTGGCGTGCGCCCTCATGCTGGCCGCTCCTCACATGGGGGAGGAGTTCGTCGGCTTCGACGTGCTGCTGGATGGTGTGCGGGTAGACAACAAGGCGCTCGAGTCGGCCCTCCAGGGTACCAACAGTGGGACGGCGGGCGCGTGTGAGAAGATCCAGGAGCCACAGCGGGCCTTGAGCCGCTTCAACGGGCTGGCGGCGGCTGTCGAGGCGGCCCGTGAGGCACACACAGGGCAGGGCCTGCACACGGAGGGAGCTGGTACGAGCGAGGCCGTTGTCGACTTGGGGATTGCACTGGTGTTGGGGGCGGCATGTGCAATCCCGACACGTCAGAGAGGCAGCCCATTGCTGCTGCTCTAGCAAAGATCACACCTTATACCACCAACTAAGTAAGGTACGGAACGAGCGAAAGAGGCGATTGGTGCATACTGTAGCGATTAATTGATTGGTTGCGGGTGGCAGGCTGAGGTGTCCCCAGAGGGATGGCGCCCACTGCCGGGCGGCAGGTCAGCCGGCCAGCCAGCCAGCCAGCATGCATATGCTGCTGAGGGGAAGGAGGACACATAAGAGTGGGTAAGCAGAATGGGCCATCGCTGTCTACGTTTTATATTTGCTTGTACGTGTCTCACACCGAACATGCACATGTGCGCGACGCTGTCGTGTGAGAGCCTTTCAGACACTGACACTTGAGAGTCAAAGTCAAGTGCAGTCAGTCCATTGTGATGTGTCTGTCTGTGATGCACCGGCTGGTACGCTGGTCGATCAGTTCGTCCACATTCAAACACACACGCCTCTGCCTGCCTGCCTGCCTGCCTCTCTATCTGTCTTCCTCATTCACGTGTTGTGCGTCTCTGTCTGTCTGTCTGTCTGTCTGTCCGGATGCAATCATTATAGACACACACGTGAGTCACTGACTGACAGGCATTCATTCGATGTATGGTCTCTGCTTGGCGATGGTCGGGCGGTGCGGCATGACAGCAGCCGGGTACTTGGCCGTCACCTCGAGCTCAACACACGGCCAGGCCAAACTGCACGCACACCACAACACACACAGATGCGTTATATTCATTCCTATGATGTGTGGTATGTGCTGTGTGACGCTGGCCTGGCCAGCTGGGTCGGTGTCTGTCTGACTCACTCGCATGTCTCGGCGTACAGTTCCTTGAGCTGCGGTGTGAATGCGCGGAAGTCCTCAGGTTTGTTGCACTCGGGGGGCCCCTTGAAGTCCACTGGCGGCTCGCACAGTGTGCCGTTGGCCGATGGCGTGAATCGGAGGGGACACACGTGGCGGTAATCACGCTCGCAGTCCTCACGACACGGATATGACAACCCGCACCTGCATGCTCCAACACACACACAGACAGACAGACAGACAGACACCCAGAAAAACAGACAGACAGACAGACCGACAGACGGACGGACCATACCCAGATGGATCTGTGTATTGGGCTTTCTGTGTCGTGCATTGCAATGCATTTCACGCCCGCTCAGCCACCTTTCGCATAGTTGTCGCTTCTGTGTGTGGGTGAAGCCCAGCAGATTGATGACAGGCCGGCAGCCGCGAGGCGCTGCACACAACACACACATGCACTCACATCAATGGACAGACAGACAGACACTGTGTGTGTGTTAGTTGTGTTGTGCTTACGGATGTACTCGTCAGGCGCCTTGCAGGTGCCTTGGCCCACATGCAGCCACCCCTTACACACACGCAGACAGACAGACAGACAGACATCCGTGTTGACAATAACACACACCACACACACCTTCGGGCACAGTTGTTTGTCGAAGTCCTGCTCGCAGTCGACCATGTTCTCTCTGCAGGGAAAAGGCGCTCCGCACTGCGCGGCAAACACCTAAACACATACATACACACATACATACATGCATCAATCAACCGCATTAGTTGACGGGGGGGGCGGTGTTAAATACACACACGTACGCCCAGCCAGCACCCACCGACGTGCCGGGCCTACTTGCTTCTCTGCAGGTGTCTTGAGGTCGACGGGCTGTGGGTGTGTGCAGGGGCCGGTGTATGATGCGGGCGGATGGCACATGCCGTGTCGCTCTTCCCACTCTTCCGGGCAGGATCTGGAATAGTCGCGCGTGCACGGCTTCTCCTTGCAGGGCCAACTCACCTGCACACACAGCACAGACACGCACGCCTGTCTGTCTCTTTGTGTGCACTGCAGTCAGTGCACCTCTTGCGTGAGCGAAGGTATGTATTACATATGCATATACATACAGCTGTACGTACGTACGTATGTGTATGTCTGCTTGCTTACTTACTTGGCATGCGGACGAGAATTGTTCCTTTTCGTCTTTGGATTTGCCTTGGGGATTGAAAGTCCGCTCGCAGCCGCCGACGTATGACTGTGGGGCCTCGCAGACTGCACCATCGAAAACCCTGCAGTCAGTCAGTGACCCACATATATGGCATATATAGCAGGGATGCATTCAGACAGACAGACTCTTGGTGAGTCTCACTCACTCACTGCCTATCTATCTATCCCTCCCTCCCTCTCTCTCACCATCCGGATGGACACGGGTTGTCGTAGTCGCGGCCGCCGTGTGGCTTGCATGCGTCGTCGAGACATGGCCACCTGAACTTGCAGTCATTGGCCATGGTGGCCTTCTGCTGGGGCAGCAAGTCCGCCAGGTCCAAGATGTACGCACAGTCGCCCTCACTGGCATAACTCGCAGGGGCTTGGCACTCCCTGCACACACACGCACGAGTGCGTGATATGCGTCCATGTCCCCCTCCCTCCTCTCCGGGCCCCGATGGCAGCCTGGCTGGCTGGCTGTGTGGCTGACCTGCCGCCCGGCAGTGGGCGCCATCCCTCTGGGCACACCAAGCTGTAGTCTCTCACACAAATCGGGTCGGGTGTTGGCAGCAGGCCAATGGCTTTGGAGCCCTCGTCAGCCGCTCGCTGCACCACGGGTGCACCAAACAGCACCGGAGTCAGCCCAAACGCCGGCAGCTTCGTCGACGGAACCTGGCCGACACACACACACAGACACACAGATGGGAGATGACCGACCTCATGCGTTTGTTTGTTCATGTGTGGTGCCCGCCTGCCTTGAAGGGTGGGACGAACCCTCCAATCAGTTCGCTGATTTGCGAGATCAGACCGGCCAGCATGTCAGCGAACAGGTACAGACCGCCGCCAACATTCGGCACCGATGCGGGAGGCAGAGGAGCTGGAACCGGCACTGGAAGCAACATCGTTCGCTTTTGAGCCCATTCCTCATGATTTCCCTGAAACCGCTGCAACTGCGATGATTTCACTTCGAATCTGCAAGAGCGATTTGTTGCTTTGGACTCTTATTGATGCCTCCTCGTAGTCAGCAGAACCAGGTGTGTCGTTACTGGCAACAGGGAAACTGCCGGTTCGGCGATAGTTGCCAGTTTCTTCATCCCGGTGCCGGTATGGGGCCAGCGGGACGGCAGGGCCAGCCGTCCAATCCATTCGCGGCATTGGGACAGCCAGGGGGGAACGGAGGAGCCACCGGATTCGCATCGACCGCTGCAGCGGCAGGGAACCCCGCGGCAGATTTCAAGGCATATCTCCGCTCAGGAGGCTTCCCCTACACATGTGAGCGACCACAGGCACTCGCATCATGCACGGAGGACAGAGATGTTCACAATGGACATGATATGGTCTCTATCCTTTCAGGCCTGAAGGGCGCTCCGAACCAGCCGTTGCTGATGCAAGGTGCGACAAGAAGGGCGTGTCGGTGCAGTATGATTCCGAGCAGATCTCACTGCGTGCTATGGGATGTGTGCAGATTTGTTGAGTCCCGAGGAGCTGCGGTGGAAGTCGATGGAGGCCGCAGGCGGCCAGCTGAACCAGCAGGCATCCCAGATGGTGGAGCAACAGGCGCGGTACGGATGCAGAGGACACTACCGCTAGCCGCTTAAATTGTGATTGCGTTGCGCTTGCGCCCTGTCTGTTGATGATTTCAGTGCCCGTGTGGAGTCGAGTTTTGCGCAGCTAAGTCAGACTGCCCCCGCTCCGTCCAGCGCTGCATCGGCTGCAGGGCTCTCTGGCCCAGCCCCGCAGAACCCCTTCGCGCAGCTGCAAAGCGCACCGTCGCCCTTCGGCCAGCCACAGTCAGCCCCGTCGCCATTCTCTGCCAGCCCGACCCCACCCCAACCATCGCAACCATCGGCACCGGTGTTCACTGCGCCACCGCAGCAGCCGACTGCGGGAGGGATATTCGGCTCAGCGGCTGGCAGTGGTGGTGTGTTTGGATCATCAGCAGCGGGGATGGGGAGGGGTGGAGGGGTATTTGGGGGCGCTGGTGGGTCGGCAACAAGCAATCTGTTCGGCCAAGGGGGTGGGTCAGGTGGCAGTGTGTTTGGAGGTGGGGCTGCAGCACCTGCAGCACCCGTCGGAGGCGGTGGCGGGCAGGTCAGTGAATAAATGGATGCAATGCAAAGGGGGGAGGATGCATGTGCACATCCCCATAGAGATGACTGCGTTGTGCCCCGTTTGGTCCTCGTGCGAATCACCCACACAGATAATGAATCCGTTTGCGGCGGCGCAGAGCGGCCCATCGCCGTTCGGCCCTCCACCAGTAGCAGCAGCTGCAGCAGCTGCAGCTGCTTCGTCTGCAACAACACCCACGCAGGGAGAGGCAACACCAGAGGTGAGTAACCCGATCCACGACAATCAATGGTGAATGATGGATGGCATGTATCCGTGTGTGGATCAGGTGGTACCGATCAGTGGGGAGTCGCAGCGCATCTTCGCATCCAAGGATCCATTTCCGGTGGGCTGCAGAAAGTGGCTGATGCGTCCATGTCGCTCGGTGGATGTCTGTTGTCTGTTGTGCGTTGCCCAGGCCCGGCATGAGGGGAAGGGCGGCATTCCGGAGGACATGCCGCCAGCTGACGTGTGCACGGACGTTTGATTGGTGATGGTATGCTGTGCATGAGCGAATGGTCGAGAGGGAGGGAGGGAGGGAGGGAGGGCTGGATGTCGCATATATGTAGCTCAGCTGGTGGCGGGGAGGGTTGTGTGTGTATGTATGTATACGTATGTGTGTGTATAGACAAAACAAACAAGCAATGGATTGATTGATGCACTCAATTCATTGACTGACGGACTGACGGACTGACTGACTGACTCGTTGATTGATTGACTGAGTGCTTTGCTTCACCAGCCATGGTTCGCTTGAGTGTGTTGTTGACGGTGTCGCTGTGCGCGTTGGCGGCGGCCGGGTCACTCAAAGCCAAAGCAAACAAACAATCCAAGGCAAGCCACACATGAATGGGACACCAGCCACAAACAAACACACTGCCGATGTCCCATTCATGTGTCTCGCAGCTGCTTCCAGCTCCTCTGCCTCCCGCATCGGTGCCGAATGTTGGCGGCGGTCTGTACCTGTTCGCTGACATGCTGGCCGGTCTGATCTCGCAAATCAGCGAACTGATTGGAGGGTTCGTCCCACCCTTCAAGGCAGGCGGGCACCACACATGAACAAACAAACGCATGAGGTCGGTCATCTCCCATCTGTGTGTCTGTGTGTGTGTGTCGGCCAGGTTCCGTCGACGAAGCTGCCGGCGTTTGGGCTGACTCCGGTGCTGTTTGGTGCACCCGTGGTGCAGCGAGCGGCTGACGAGGGCTCCAAAGCCATTGGCCTGCTGCCAACACCCGACCCGATTTGTGTGAGAGACTACAGCTTGGTGTGCCCAGAGGGATGGCGCCCACTGCCGGGCGGCAGGTCAGCCACACAGCCAGCCAGCCAGGCTGCCATCGGGGCCCGGAGAGGAGGGAGGGGGACATGGACGCATATCACGCACTC